AGAAAGAGAAAGGGAGAGGGAGAGAGAGAGAGAGAGAGAGAGAGAGAGAGAGAGAGAGAGAAGGAAGGGAGGGAAAATGACAGGACATAAAATAAAATGCCCACCTGATATGGATCCCAGTAGCACATTGTTCTTAATACAGCTGTACACATACTCATAGCTCTGAGGCTTCAATGGAGATCCCGTAGAAAGGAGTGTGTGGAGGGTCTGCAGGTTGTGTGTGTTTGCTGTGAATGGGCAAGAAAAACAACATCTTAGTAAAAAAAAATTGCAGTTCCTAAAGGAAACACTACTGCTTGCAAGGCCTCAAAAGATTGTGAACAATAATAGCCACAAATATTTAAATTCAGATCAATCTACCTATATTTTCATTCTGTAACTAACATATTTTATGCTTTATGAATGCCAGTTCATGTCGCTTTAAAGATGAAGCTCTTTGTGCATTTGAGGTCTTGGAGGGGTTAGGGGATTTATTTGTTTTGCTTTTTTTTTTTTTTTTTTTTGTTTTTTTTTGCATAGCATGTATTTAATAAAACACTTTTATTCAAATCAAAAATGTAAAATGTCAAGTGCCCCGTGCCCCACATTATATTATAAACAGTCCTGAAGTTAATAAAGCTCAGCTCGCTGTCATCTATTCAGAATGTCTGTGGTCTGGAGGCAGATGGGTATGGCTCACAGTGATCAGAATTATGAACCACGTTAAGCTGTGCTGAAATGTATGCAGGCAACATGCCAGGCCACCCGTCTGGGGTCCCGTGTAGAGAGGGTCTCTCGCCCCGGTTATCAGAGTCAGTGCCACACCCCACAGGCTAACAGGTGTCGCTCTGAAATGTCAAGCAGCCAAAGGGAGCAGCAGAGGGCCAGGAAGCACGTCTCTGACCCCCAACACATGATCCACTGAACCACACACACATGCAAAACAAATAAATCCCCTAACTCCTCCAATACCTCAAGCACAGCAAGAGCTTCATCTTTAAAGACCACATGAATTGGCATTCACAAAGCATTGAATATGAATATGAATTTCATTCTTCTGTAGAACACAAAAGAATATATTTTGAAGAATTTGGGGAACCTAATCAGTTGTTGGTAGCCACTGATTTCCACACAGCATGGGAAAAAAAATAAATACTACGGAAGTCAATGGCTACCAGCAACTGTTTGTTTAGCCGCATTCTTCAAAATGTCTTCTTTTGTGTTCAGCAAACACATACAGGTTTGGAACAAATTGAAGATGGAATTTTTATTTTTGGGTGAACTATCACTTTAATTAAATATGACTTAACATTAATTTAATTTAATTTATACAGCATCAGTTACATCCAAGATGTCAGGGTTTGGCTGGTTAGCATTAGTACAACAATATTTTTTTCCATTGATGGACATTCTTATATAGCTGCATATCCTGACCAAACAGGGTTGATTTTCATTTCAAGTTGTTTTTTAATCCCTGCATGGGAAACCACAGGTGCTCATAAAAGTGTCTCCTCATTAGAGGAGTTTCTGCAGTAACTCTTTATTCAAAAATAAATAAATAAAAAAATAAAAATAAAAAGACTAATTTGATCGCTCTCACGGCAGTCGTTACGCATGAACTCCATCTTCCACTGTAAATTGCATTTTAATTCACTTTTAGTTTGTCTTATTGTTGAATATTTACAAGCACGCACACAGTTTAGTGAATCAATCAGTGGCATCTAGAGACTGCTGGGAAAGTGGGCAAATTAATGTGTCCTAGGGATGTCAAAAGACAGCACTTTGGAAGCAAATTGAAGCTAACAAAAACCATACACATACATTTATTAGTCTTTAGAGCGCATCGGAAGTACCAAGTACAGACCCAATTTGGTGCACATGCCTCACAGATGCACATGAATAGTCAAACAAGTGCAACATAGTGCTTTCTGACAAGGTAAACAGTAGATTTGTAAACAAGCAAGAAAAAAATTATTTGCCAAAAAATCAGAGCATTAGGCTTCGCAGTGTAAATGTATAATAAACTAGTAGCCACTGTCCTTCCTATATGTCATTAAAATGAATCAAAGAACATTACTGATTGTGGAAAATTCATTGAAAATTTTGAAGCAATGTTTACCCCACTAAAATACTTTGTTACATGCCACTTTTTAATTTTGATAATATTAATATTAGATTCTTTAAAGAAAGGAATGATCAACAACATTGATCTTAACTTGATATTAAGAAATATGAAACATCACTGGTATTGGTACTGAAATATTGTATAGTGACAATTCTATTATGACAGAAAAAGTGAAGAAACGAAAGAGGGGTTGTAATTCATTGCAGCTCACCAGGTTTCAGATTTCTCTCCTCCAGCACAGCCAGCCATTTCGCTCCAGTCCCAAAAATCGTGATTCTGTCAACAAATGATAAAACAAATGGACAAAAATGGATGTTAACAATTATTTGTATATTTTAAATGTATAAAAGCAAAATGGCTTTCTTAGAGCTAGTCAAACCAAACTGAAATTTAGGAGGTGCAATACAGGGCAGGCTGGCAGCATCCTTAAGGAACCTGAGGTACGCATACCCCTGGTTGGGAAATCACTGCACTTATAGGCCACGTCTCTGAGAAATATGAGAACCTAATTTCCACAGCACTTTAGATTTCCACGCTTTCACTATAGAACAAAAAGTGGAACACTTTCAGTGTCAATAAGGTGGAATTGATCTAAATGGCCAGTTGACCTGCAGAGGCCTTGGTCAGCCATCTCTTGATGGAATCACTCAGGGTCAGAAATCAGGGGCCGAGGGTCAAGCCAATGCAATATCACAGACAAGCTTAAATGCTGTCAACACGGTTGTGTTAGTGTAATTTCCATTTGACTAGCACAGTGTTGTACTGTGTTTACTGCAAATTTACAGTACAACAAACTTTCTACTACACAGGTTGTATAATAAATGAAACTGCCCATTCCTAAATGCAATTGGAACAGAACTGTAACTGCAAGAATTAAGTCTAACCAATGGTTTACAATTAAACAGTGAAAAAAGGATTTCTATGTACTTCAATGTTCACAATGCACAACTCGAAGAGCAGCAAAAAAATTAAAAAAAACATCATTCAAAAATTGTCAGCATATTGCAGCAATTGTCAGCAACTACTCATTTTACATTCAAAGAGGTTAACCAATCACAGGGAACTTGCATAAAGTGTAAAATGTATAGCATTAAAAACATTTAATCTTTAAGCAAAAAAAAAAAAAAGTCAGGTAAACCTAATCGAGATTTGTCTTAGACAATTAAAGGGTTAGTTCACCCAAAAATGAAAATTAGACTGTTTTACTCACCCTCGATGCATCCTAGGTGTATATGACTTTCTTCTTTCAGACGAATCCAGTCGGAGTTATATAAAAAATTGTCCTGGCTATTCCAAGCTCTATCATTGCAGTCAGCGGGTCTTGCAGTTGAACAGTCCACAAGTCGTCAAATAAAGCGTGCGCATCCATAACAAAACGTGCCTCACACGGCTCCTGGGGATGAATAAAGGCCTCCTGTAGTGAATTCATGTGTTTTTGTAAGAAAAATATCCATATTTCAAACGTAAGAAACACTTTTCATACGCGGAAGCCGTTCCGGCAGATGACGCAGCACGTATGCGCAGCGCGCGCCTCTGAGATATGCTAGTCTCGCGAGTTTGCTAAAGTAAGGAAACTTTGCTTCCTTTGCTCCTATAATCAAAGGAAAACCAGTCTCCTCTTGGTTTATATCGAAATCCTCTGACATTTTTCTTTGCAAATCCTCGGTTTTTACTTCTAATTCGTGACCGGCGTTTTGTTTTATTCTCTCTCCGCATTCGTCACTAATCAAGCAACGTCGACGTGCTGCGTCATCCGCCGGAACGGCTTCCGCGTATGACAGATACCGGATGTGAGACAAAAGTGTTTATTACGTTTGAAATATGGATATTTTTCTTACAAAAACACATGAATTCACTACAGGAGGCCTTCATTCATCCCCAGGAGCCGTGTGAGGCACGTTTTGTTATGGATGCGCGCGCTTTATTTGACGACTTGTGGACTGTTCAACTGCAATACCCACTGACTGCAATGATAGAGCTTGGAATAGCCAGGACAATTTTTAATATAACTCCGACTGGATTCGTCTGAAAGAAGAAAGTCATATACACCTAGGAT